CACATTTTTATTCATTTAAATTCTATCTTTATATATCAGGTTACTTTAGATCTTCAATGTTAAAGCCTAAGCTCTTATCGATAAAGATGATTACAATAGATAGCTTAAATTTTATGACAGATAATAGGCGTGTTTTTCTAAAAGCAATTTATGCATCAATAATCATGTGATTGACACATAAAAAATCCAGCACATTAAAAAGATTCCCAATTAAAAAAATACCAACACTGTATTTTATGATGGAATTGTAATGTGTGGTGTAAGAACTTAAAGCTATCCTGCCAAAATCTTCAGTTGCTGGCATGTGTGAAAATAGTTATTTAAAGAAAAATGTAACTAAAACTTCTGAGTTTCTAATCTGTTTTGTTTTGCCATCTCTCTGATTTTACATAAATATTCACTAATAAATACAACAAAATAAGTGTGTGATTAGAGTGGGTTACACTGGATTTGTGTTTATGTAATGCCCAGTAGCAGAGTGTATGCTGCCAAGTTATTATTGCATTCTAACAATTCACGCCTAAGTAACTATCTTAAAAACACACATAAACTATGCGATGTGAAGTCGATGCCTAAAATTCCTTCCTAAGCTACTATATTGATTCACATTTGTGCAAGTTTTCTAAATTATACGCTTTGTACTCACTTCTGGCCCTACACTGACGCAGATCTACAAATTACTAGCTAAATTTCTAACTTGTACCTTCTTTTATTAGTATTTCCTATGTTGGTTTTACAATGAAAACACCTTTAGGAAGCTTGTAACCATACCAAGCCAGTGTCCAGTATCTCACATAGCTAGATTTCAAGTCATTCATTATTTACTTGTAGACTCTAAGAACATTCATGGAATATTCCACTATAATTTATTTAGAAATACACAGTCATTTACCGGATTCTGTAATAACCTCTATGAGAGGAGTAACTTTGGGCTGAAATAGAGAGAAAATCTTAAAAGCCATCTTTTATGAATTATTCAGAAATCAATAATAAAGTTTATAAGTCTTAATACTGAACAAAATGTGTTCTCTTGTTGTAATTGTGTAAGTCAATACATAATTAATAACTTCAAACAAGCATTCAAAATTTGAAGTTAAGAACAAGAATTTCCTTTCCTTTGGTGAAAACAGAACAAATTTGGCAAATAAAATAATTTAAAACAGTAAGTTAGTTTTTCAAGCTCATGGGAAGTAAATTGTATTGAGCCTGAAGTGTCTATCATTATTTCAATTTAAGTGTCTTCTGCACTCTTTCCTGTGTGTGTGAATGTGCTTGTGTTTGTATGTGCAACACAGGAAATATATACAGGGCAATGAAATTCATTCTCCATTAATAAAAAACACTAAAAACACAAGGAACAACAACAAAAACCTCAAATGAATTTACCCCATTGAAAAATGCATGATTACTTTTTCTCCCGAAGTACCTGTAAATGAATAAAGGTTATCCTCACGAAGTCAGCTGCAAGAAAGACATCTTTAGTTTATGCCATGCAGGACTGATTCTTAACCAGCTCTGAAAGAATCTTACCCACAGGGAGGATTTCATGTGAAAATGTCACACCACAGCTGGATAACACCATTTATATAGGTGATAGTAATCACTGATTTGGGGGCTATCTTAAGATGCCCTCATTATTTGGGAATGAAGTCAGAAAAAAAGGTCAAAATTTGAAACTATAACCAGACAAAAAACAACTTAAACTAGGAAAAATAATGAATCATGCACTCAAGGATGGAGTTTATAATTGTTACTGAGATTAGGGTTTTTTCCAACCAAATAAGTCAAATAATTTCTTCTTCCTTTCCTCTCCCCAAACCCAATAAACTATTCAACTGTGTGATGATACATGAATTAACTGCTGTTTGATACAACAGAAGTTTTCTGGGTGGATTCTAGAAAAAGGAAAGGTCATAACAACTTAGTATCAGGTCTATACTGTCCAAAGAAAGGTACAGAATTCTTTAGAATCAACGGTTTAGATGGAGTACTTACATGGTGGACAGCTGAATCAGCAGCCATCTTTGTTTGATAAAAAATATTCCTTATGGATACCAAACAAGATTTCCTTTTATACTGTTCTCACTATGAAATCATCTGGTACATAATTCAACTTTTTAATGGAGCAATACAATGATGTATTTCTCCCATAATTGAAATTCAGGTTTATAAATCACTTTATTATGAGTTTGTTTCATCTATTTAAGCACCCCCCCAAGAGTCTGATTGTCTGCAGATGAATTAGAAAAATAGTTTCTAAAATAGCAAAGCTGAGGATAAGACCTTGGAGTGGGGTCCTAATTTGCTCTCTTGATGTAACTTGTAAGCTACAGCAGGTAGAAGTTATCTTTCTACAGTCTTACTGACCTCTTTTATTTAACAAAAGAGACCTCCCTCTGAAATAGTAACTCTCAAAATATTTTGAAGTTAACTAAGTAAAAAGTGCGTTTTACATTATGGCATATATAAGTGTATATTATGTGTATAACTGAAAAAGAAGTTTGGTCAAACAATGCTTATCCCAACCATGTGCAAAGCATTCTGACAATTCTTATTCTATTTCATTATTTAAAATGTTGATTACAGTTAACTAAACTTGATTGCATAGTATACTCATGAATTGGGAACCAACCTTTGAAAGACATTGCTCTCAAATCCAGGATACTTATATCTGCAGTAATTCAATTCACATTCCTTAGTTGAGATCCTGTTTTCCCAGGGCAAGTCATTGTCCCTTATTAGCTAATGCATTTTCTCTAGAAGAACATTCCTGAAATGTGCCCATTTTTCTACAGCAGGTATACTACTCCAGGTACCTCACTATTTCCGTATTTAAACAAAACATAATCTTCATTTCAACGAGCAGAAATCTTATTCTGAGAAAAAATAACAACAATTGAATAAACAGCTAAAGAATATACTGAAAGGGGAAAATATTCTTCACTGGCAATGAAAAGTATGTGCTGTGTTCAGGTGACTATCCAAAATTAAACTCTATTTAGTTTTCACTTTTCAAAAATCTGTGATTCATGCAGTGCCTCTGAAAGAAGACATTGCCATGCTCTGAGAGAACATCTGAGCAGATAGTAGCACTGTGCTATGGCAAATATTTTAAAAATCTTATAAGAATATCTAGCTTATTTTGTGTAATTTTCAGTATTAAAGCAGCATTTGAAGTCCTGACAACCATATTTGATAAAACTCTCGAAAATTTGAAACCATTGTTATTTAACACAATTTTGTTAGGCTGTTTTGCTATAACTCATACTGAAGGTACTCTGTTATAGAACTTGCTCTGCCCTAAAATACATTATCATTGCCTATTTAAACTGCTTTTCAGATTCTATTACCTTTAAACTTAAGCAAGCATTGCTTTAAAGGAGGGAAACTATATTAATTCTGTCAATGTGGAGAAAGGCTATTTTCAAAACAGATTGTTTAATGTGAAGAAACTTAATATAGAACCTATTAGAAATGAGGTACAAGTCCTTTAAAATGTTAGGGATTTTTTGTTGTTTAAAATGAAAGTTCCACCCAGGCTTAGCTAAGCTTATAGCCCAAGTGAATATTTATATATGGATTTATAAATCTTAGAAATAGAGTTTTATGGAAATGCTAACAGACCCTGAGGTACGGCTGAACTTGTTTTCAGGTACTGCTATAATTTCCAGTGTGTGTATGCTTAAAGACTGCAACACAAAAGAGTGTTTCTAATGCTATAATTTTGTAGTTTTATTAGACTGAGTTATAGTATGGAAGAATATTCAGAAATTGCAGCTTAAATGAGAAAACGTGAATGGTGTTACTTATATAAAATACTACTGCAATAGTTCTTTTATTAATTTTTAATGTTCAGCAGCCTCTGCGACCTCCTTTATTCTCTTGCTGTCAACATGGCAGGCTGGAAAAATTGAAATGGGCTGACAGAAAACATAGTGCATGTTACAGCCCAACTCTGGAGTCTCTTGACTCTCTTTCTGTGGCACTTGCTAGCGCGGTCCACGTTATTCTGCATTACAATAATATTTAAGGCCCTGTTTGATAGCTCCTGATAAAAGCGAGTTGTGTCTGGAGCCTGAGCAGGTGCTCCTCGTCAGCCTTCTCCTTTCTGACATTGTGGGAATGGCATTCAATTAAAAGCAGAATATAATCGTTTTTGTTCTTCATGGCTCACAGGCATACTTCATACTTTCAAAACAGAATACCTCAGCATGGATAGAGCTTTATTTGTGTCTGTCCAGCCTCTTCCAAAAGCACATTTTGGTCTGATTCAGCAATGCTTTTCTTGAACAGTGGGGCACTGTTATGTTATGTATATTTACCACTTTCTCTATCACCAAGGAGACTAATCCCCATACCAGTACAGTCAAGAACCTTACAGCATTGTCTTTGCAAGCCCAAGTTCGTGTTGTCACAGTCACAGAATGCACAGGGCAAAGATACTGAACAGGACCTTGAGATTAAAACCTCTCTTTCTTTTTCAAATTCAAGCGTATGATGATGAGAAAGAGTGTGCAAAGGTGTGAGGTCTGCAAATGTCTTGTCAGCTGATGCTTAATTCAGTGTTTTAATGGCTTGTTTAGGACAGTTGTGAAAGCAAGATTTTTGAAGATGGTAGATGTCTAAATTCCAGGAAGAATGAAAACTAGTCCAGACTATGAAAAGGATATTGTAATGAGGGTGCTTATATTTTTCTCTCAGAGGGCCCTCATATTAACCCTTACTAATAAGTGGCAAAAGAACTGAGAGACAATGAGAAATTCTCAGGAAAGCATGGACCACCAGAGAATAGAATTTGTGCAAGACTTTATCTTGATATTCTCTCATCCTGTGCTGTCACTTGAGCTTTCACATTCAATCTGTTATAACTATTATGAATATTGATCAGCTATGAGTTATCAGAATTTGGGATCATAAGGACACAAAACTCTTGCAACATGACCTCCTGATTTTTCAACAACCTCCAAGAAAGCACAATGCAAGAAGCGGGCAACACCTACCAGACACTCCTCCATAGGTAGTTCGCTTTGCAATCCCCACTGCTGGCCAAGGTGTGCCATCAGATTTTAATCCCATCAGACCTGAGACAGTGTTGGTGGCTGTAACGCCATCGGCACCACCTGTGAAAGACACATCAACATTTTCATGCAGCTCTTATAAGACATGATAGTTAAAACCCATTCAAATCCTCACAACCCAGAAAAATGCATTCTACTTTATCTTGAGAACATGCTTTCTCCTCAAAGTTCTTCAACAATTTAACTCCTACATTTATGTTTAAAATTTTAAACACTAAAAAAGTTTTAATTACCACAATTTTATTTTCTCAATTATTACACAGACTTCTTGTTACCAAATGTTTTGTACTTAGTGTCATTTTCCAGGTAATTCTCAATGTCTTTGCAAGTCAGGGTGCAGTTTTCCTGGGATGGAACACAAGCATGCATGATTTATGTATTCAACAAATATTTATTGGGCATGTGTTTAAGGAAGTTAGCTAGGCCCTATAAAATATAAAGAGAAATCATGAGAAATTTCACACTGTGAAAACTGAAATTTCTTTTTTTTTCTATTTTACTTCATTAAAGGTTAATATATTGAATTGTTACCATATGAGGTCATTTATTTTGGGCAGGATTGCTGTGACTGTACTCTTTGTTCTTATAATGTGTGAAATAAGTGTTTATTAGGAAAAACTATAAATGATCTTGTGTTTCCAGATCAAAGTTCATGGTCAATTTGCTAGCGTGAGACCAGGTGTAAATCTCCTGTGTTTGTGGGATCGAGTGCTCAATTGAAAACTTTTAAAATTGAGACAAAAAAATACACGTTTGTACGAAAAGACATACTTGAGTATGGCTACATAATGCGAGTGAATATTTATAATAGTGGGCAACTGATTCAAGTCAAGTTCTTACCTTCCTTTGCAGCTCTTGCGATGCTCACGATATCAGTGACATTTGGGGTCAGCTTGGCAAAAAAAGGAATCTGAACAGCTTGCCTAACCCAGCGGCAGATGTTACGCACCAGCTCTGGATCCTGTTCAAATAGGTCGGTTGAATATAGAACATAATTAAAGAATTGTGATCAAAATGTGTACTGGAACAACAGCAAAGCTGGAGATGTGCAAGATAAATCCAACTTGACAATGAGCTACATGATATATTTCTCAAATTCCTCCTCAGTATTACACCTAGACTCATTAGGGAACTAAGGTTAACACACTTCAAGTGAACTGCAAAATCATCACATAAAGGTTAAATTCCTCAAGAGAGCCTTTAGAAAATAAAATTTCAAAGAACAAAATGGAAGACAGTGTTTCCCGCTTTCAGTTAAATATTATCAGGAATGAAACACAAACTTTTGATAGTAAATACAGGAAACATTACAAAATTTCTAGTGATCTCATTGGTTTAAGCAAAATAAAAAATATTTAAACTGCCGACTCTCAAGTGAATGATATTAAATCTAAAGCTTGTTGTTTTCATTATTAGACTTAGTCTTGATGTGTATTCAAAATAAAATCTATCTATGACATCATCATCAATCTACATGTGATATGTAGCATTTGCAAATATGGAATAATTCAGCCTTGTATTATAAAGAGCTGATCAGTGACTTCAATTTACTTTTGTAAATGTTATCAAGATCTGTGCAGCATTTTTCAGCACTCACGTACTTGAAAGAATTGATCAAAATGACAAAAATGAAATAAAATATCAAACACTTATTTTAAAAAGCAAGAAATAGACATTTCCCTGTGCCTATTTTCTGTGATTTTCCAGGCCTTTATTTTCTCATGGGGCAAGTATCATTTAGAGGGCAAACACCTATCCTTTCCATTGAATAACTTAGCGACAGTACAGTAATGTTCTTTGATTTCAACACATACAATAGTCCTTTTTTTCATTACTTTTAGTGGGAAATTTATTCTGACAGGTACTGATAATGTGCTTTGATAAATTACCTTAAAGTATGCAATAGCAATTCATTATTGAACTGGGTAATATTATCTTAGCAAGTTAAAATGTTTCTGAATAAAAGAAAAACCCAGGCAAATACAGTCATATATTTAAACTATGAAATAGTAGGCAAGCATATCATTTGTAATTAATATTTTTATATGTAAGAAAGTTGCTCTTTGCATTTTAACCTTTCGAATTCCTTTAAGATGAGATTTGTAATGCTGTAACCTTTAGAGAGAACCTTTTCACTTAGGTTTAATGTGTCTTGATCCATCATCCTGTATTACTCAAAAAGTTATGCATTTTTGTGCTAAGATACTGCAATGAGGTAATTTCTGTTGATTGTTATCGTCTCTATTAAGCAAAACTTAATACTTTTAAAAAGAAGTCTTTGACTTGGCTTGTTCTCTTTTTAGAACAGTAATTTCTTCATTAAACATAAATATTAAAAAAGTACTGTATGGAATGCTCTACAGGGCATACTATGCATTATGAATAGTAAAATGTGGAGACTTAGCTATACAAATTCTAACTCATGAAAATGGAGATCTGCCCCTGCCCATGCAATGCTCATGAAATATTTATAACCACTGCATTGGTATTATGAAGGCAGTTGCATCTTTGTGACTTTCATTTCTAAGTTATGAATTTCCACGGGACTTAGCCTAGAAATGACAGTAACTCTAGATGATATGAATTGCATGTCCTTGGTAGAAGCTCTCTTTAAGGTAGAATTTGACAATAATTTAAAGATAACTTGAATGGCATAATACATTGAATGTATCCTGGTAAGAATTACTGAAACAAATTTGAAATATTATTTAGTTCCAATAGAGTAAACACTAATAATCTGACATAGGCTTCTAAGTGGCTTTCAATACTATTGACCCCCATGCCATAATAATTTACTTTGAACATTTGTCAGACTTTTTCTCTGATTTTCACTAGGTGACTGCTTTAAATGACTGCCTCTTACCCCATTGTTTAACAATTTGGAATTTGTTCAAAGTTTTTCAAATTCTTAGAAATATATGGGGTTTTTGGTTAGCAATGTGTACTTGAATCATCTGTCTCTATTTTGAGATAGCATAATTTGACCCTCCCATAGTTCCATGAGTAAAGTTGATGGTGTTCACATATATTTTTCTCATCTTCATACTTAGCCAAGCCAGCTGCTGACTAATCATCATAGTCAAGTGTAAGTACAGTTTGATTACCTGAAAATTTTAAAAACAACTTCTAACCAAAATTATCATAAAAATTAATGACTGTTCTGTAAATTGCAATGTTTTGTTTGACAGGTATAATAGAGAATATTCTAATACAACCAGAAAGGTGGTGAGGTCAATAACATCATAAAATGAATACTATATGCTTTGGGGAATTAAAGAATAGACTGTAACTATTTACATTTTCCTGGTTTCTTCACAATTTTGATATGAATGTTCAAAATCTAAAAGCAATTAATAGTGTTTCTACATCTTGACCTTCTCATTTTCTAGTGATAGCATCAGATGGCTTTGCCTTTTGTAACAAGACAGTTTTTAGAATCTCATTGAAATAAATAAGTTTTAGACAATTTCCAATTCTTCTCCAAATCTTCAGGATCAGAAATATACAAAAGTACTCCTATCTCTCAGAGAAGTTGAGAGTTTACCATTACCAACACATACAAAAAGAAGTAGCAGAAGGAGAAGGAGAAGAAAAAGTTATTGACTGCTCCATTTCTGGGCACTAAAAAATATCTGTTGTGTCAATGAATGAGGAATGAGTGAAAACTTGGCACTTGGCATATTTTCGGATTATTTACTTATATACACATCAAAATATAAACCATGTCTAGATTTAAGAAAAACCCAGATATATTTTATGATAATGTCTAAAAGCATGAAATGTAGGAAGACTATTTTACAAATCAGTTGTTAATTCTGTGAAAAAGTGATAGATAATTAAACAAAATAGAATAGCTTAACAAATTTTTAAAAATATCTAATACACAAAAACGTCTACCTAGATCACAAAGGCTTTATTGGTGCTTTCTAAAGGCATTAATAATGCTTCTCCCTGAACATGATTTGCAATTTCTGTCACAGTAGTTGCTTGTGTCTCTCTCTCTCTTTGTGTGTGTGTGTGTGTGTGCATGTTCTTCAATACCTGTTAAGTCTTTTGTTATTCAGTGTGATCCCCAAAGAAAGCTCTGAAGCAACAAAATGATTTCCTGTGATGGAGGTGCATGGCATTATAAGCAGAAAGACACTTGAAGCCCCTAAGAGAATGAGCAGCAGATCTAGGGAGTAAATGGTGGTCTTGAGGCTACTACGTAAAGTGAAGGTACCAGACCAGACTTGTGAAGTGCTGAAAAGAGTTTTGATAAAAGCAAGCTAGAGGCAAATTTGGCCTATTTGAAAATTTTGATGAGGTACATCCCAGTGTCTGCCTGCAACTAATCTTATCAGGAATAGATTCCTATGAAAATCAAACAACGGTGACAATACAACTAGAAAATGTAATGCTGAGGAATGCAGATTACTTGCTGCAGTAATGTCCATTATGCAGAACTGGTTGTTTTTAAAACTTAATTTCTAATCTGGGCCACAAGATAAGAATTTTTAATTCTAGTAACTACTCTGTATTTAGTAACACATTAAGGGAGTTCTATAAATGACCCATCCTGCTGCTTTTGAGACCCTGAAGATGACTCCTTCATTGTAGAGCAGGCATTTCCACCAATTACTTAGGGCATCAAACCTCACTGGTTTCACGTCCTCTGCAAAGGAAGAAGCACTACAGAATGAGACTGAGAATTTCCTGATAAGCTAAATTACAAGTGAAATTTTGACTTGAAGAAACATTTCTCTCCCATTTACCTAGTAATTTTCACTCTGTACAATTCTTTTCAAAATGGCTTTCTTAGAAGGTGGTATTTCAATGAATCCACTGAAAAATTTTACCAGTTATAAAATGTTTTTCACTAAGCAACTCTTAAGTCTTAATTCATATGACATGCCAAGAGGTGGCTAGAATTTTCATTACATCCATGTTTCTGATGGAAAGAACTGGGGCCCAGAAGATCAATCTCAGTATCAATTTCACCTTCTTAATTTTCTTTCCCATTATCATGTCCTAAACCATCATCTTCTTCAGCAAAATTGCTCCCTAAAGTGAAATTCAGCCTTCAATTGTAAACTAGAATTATAAAAGGCTTCTACTTCACTTATTCCTGTAAGACTAGAAGTAGCTGCAAAATAATGAGCAAAAGTGATGTATTATCCATCTGTGTCATTAAAACAGGACAGGCAGTCAACTATTCCAGGTACAATTATAATAGTAGTGAATGCAAAGATTATGTGTTGAAATGGATTTGTTTTTATTAACTTTTTTTTTTTTTTTTTTTAGCATGTGTCCTTCTTGCATCTGTTTTCCTGACTTAAGTATTCTAATAGTGGTCCAACCACTTTGGAAATTAGTTGTGCAGTTTCTGAAAAAGGTAAACATGGACTTACTAATCAACCCAGAAATTGAACTCTTAATTATATATACAAGTGAGATGAAAACATACTTCTATATTAAAACTTGCACATGAATACTCATAGAAACTTTTTCAAAATAGGTCTAAATTTGACATAACACCAATATTCATCAATATGTGAGTGAATAAACAAAATTGTTGCATATCCACACAATGAAATATGATTCAGCAAAAAAAGAAACTAATGAATCATGCCACAACCTGGAATAAAACAAAACGATGTTGAGTTACAGAAGTATACATTATATGCATACATTTACTGAAATTCTATAAGAGGAAAAACTATGAGTATGGAAAGCAGAGCAGTGGTTGTTGAGACTGAGAATTAGGCATGGAGGAGGAATTAAGTGGAAACAAGTGTAACAAAATTGTTGAGGGTAATGGAAATGCTCCATTTTCTTTAAAGGAAAACTATTGATATATTTGAAGATATTAAAATTAAAATGTTAATATATTTAAAAACATTGTGAAAAGACAAGGCACAAAGTGAGACAAGATTCTGCAGCACAACTCATAAAAGAGTAGTATCCAAAATATATAAAGAA